ACTCTAAAATACATGGGAGTGAATTTTTGACCAATTAAACAATTCCGTAGTAAATAGCAAAATCGGCTATTTACATATACCACTAATGTGCATTAGATGAGAGTCCTAGTTTGATCTGCTTACTGAGAGAAATCAACCCTAAAAGATATCAACAGTTTGAGAAATGCTTGTGATCATTTGGTTGGCATTCTGGCTTTGTTGAAAGCAAATATGATGTATGGGGAGAGTTCTTGATCAAAACCAAATTTCTTGGTATTATAATTAGTATTCCACCACAGAAACAGTTCCCATAAAATCTTCAATTTGATACAAATTCTGTTTCACATCCTGCCATATCCTTTGATGCAATATGAATCCACTCCTGTAGTTCTGCCATCTGATTCTTAATCCCGAGCCAGAACTGGCGATCTTGCTGCTTTAAAAATGCATCTGGCAACACATCACACTTGGTTAAATGTTCAATACAAGCATACAGATAGGCAACATACTTGGCCAGTGATTGTCCTAGCAATTGTCCTTCATCAACGTCCTCTAAATCTTTTGTGATAGTCAATCTGGGTGTTGCAGGGAACAAAGGGACGACTTTCCAGACGTTGAGGCTTGCACGAGGGCAAAGTATGCAAGTAGTAATTTTCACGGTCCCAATGTACTGTGTGCTTTAGGAAAGCCCTGGTCAATCCTCGGTCTTTATACTCGCGATTGAAAGCATTCTGAACTGCGACTGTCTCTTCTGCGGAAAACCCGAGATCTATTCAAAGAATAGCAGAAAATGAGTGGATAATTATAGACAGCACCCAGTCAAAATAACAATAAACGAAAAAAAAGCAAGGTTAAGAAATGGGGGTTGTAGCAGCATTTGAACTATTTCCCCTTTGTTGTGACTACTCTAACAGCATTCGAACTATTCTCTCTCCATCGCTCCTACTCTACTTGACCCAAACATATCATATCTTGCTTATTTGTTTTGTTTTTGAAAACAAGTTTATTTATGTATAACCTAGCTCTGCTACGATTCAGCCGTCCCGACTGTTGTATTGATAACATTCGTAACTATCCTCCTCCCAATAAACTGCTTGATTACCTTGTTGCTCTAAATATGCATTAATGATCTCATCTTCCGTAGCTTTTCTATTCTTCTTTACACACTGACCAATAAATGAATTAGGAACATCATCCAAGGTAATAGTAAGTGGTGGGGTCCATGTCATCAGTGTTATGAGAGGGAACGTGTCCGTGTTTATATATTGTTGCATATCACGCTGTGAAAGACGTTTAAATACGCAGTATTTGCTCATAATATGCGATACTTTACAATACCGCACATAAAAAAGTCATTTCGCCGACATGTGTCCCAAGTTTATATTCTTCCTAACATGAGACGCTGTATATCATCTATTGCTTTTGTCGTCGCTAATTATTTTTGGTGCACAAACCTTGAATAAAATCGAAGGTCATAGTAATATGCCTCACACTATTTTTCAGAAATTCATTATTCTTATCTTTCGAAATAACCAAATGAGGGAATATGAAAACCGTTTTAAAGGACAGGCACGCCAGTATATAAGCCACGAATAATTATATTAGCACTTACGAAACACGAAATAAAAAATAGCTGTGACCGCCTTCAGCAATGAATTATAACTTTATTAACTACTTATGCTTCTAGCCACCTATTGCGAGGTTGCAAGTCGTCATATTCTTTTTATTAATGTGCTATGTTATATATATATATGTCAATTCTAAACTGACATGCAACACAGGTAATTTATTTTGATTTACAGATAACCATAGTAGAACTTTACCTTAGCTCAATTATAATTGTAAATAAATAAACGCATTTTAAATGTAATTTATTAAAATTTCATTAAATGCAAATAATCAAGGGGTGAAGCTTTACTGTACCTTAAAATTTTTATTGGAAATGCAGTGCCTACTAACAGTGTTTATCGGAGGGTTAGACTTGCCATTCTTCTTGCATATGATAAACAAATATGGGCTTAAGTTACTTGTGTGTTAAATAAATAAGTTCGCATAAGCTTTCACGTAATTAATTAAGGTTTCACTTACCCTCGGTAAGAACAACGTCGTAGCGTGTTGATCAAACAGTTATTACTGTATGCTGTGTTTCCCTAATTACTATTCTACTACCCGTTATTTTAATGCAAAATTTGTATTGCACAAAGACACAACAAGAACCGTTTTACATAAAATTGCAACCTTTTGAAGCTCGGACGGGAGGTTAGTTGGGAAATCCGTTGAGTGAGGGAGACGGGATTGCCGCATTGCATTGAAAATAAAATCTCTTTCTCTGGATATCCATAGCATTACATTACAAACATAGATAATCGGGAATTTACCTGCCATGTCGCACAACCTGCCAGGTCGTGCAAGCTCAAATATCATCCTTTCATTGGACACTCAGATGGCTTCTCCTCCATAAATAGAAATATTATGGACTGTACGACTGTCGGGTTGTGCGACCTGGCAGGTAAATTCCTGATAATCAAACATAGGACAAGCCCTTTATAAATTTTACATATGAAGTTTTTTTACCGCGTTCCTACCTTCTCGTCTCGACGTCAAGCGGCTAAGGCTTGAATAAGTAGTGACTATTTTAATTTTTATATTAACGTTAACCTCCTCCTGATAGAGAACAGGTATGCCCTGATTCATTTATCAACAAAATAATGGAGGTTTTTTTTAAAAAAACAAAAAAAAATTTCCCCCGTAATATCCATTAGTTGACGAAACAAGTGTTAAACAGTCTGCTGCCAAAGTTTTGAAGCCGTAGCTTTCTTCCTTCAAAGCCAGTTCGGTTTGAAGTTTATATGTTCTTACTATTATAATCGGGCTTCCCTACGTTGTAACACTATCAATATCCAACATTTATCGCGAGGACCTTTTATTCACACCAACACCGATAACACGTATGTAAATACAATGGACATTGTACCCCCAATAACATTTATTTCACAATCATTTCAGCATTTCATTTCACCGACAGTCATTTCACGTGACACATTGTTTATCGCACTTATCATTGGTTTTATTCGCAAGAGTACTTATAAAACAATTTCCTCGAGTCTTAATCAATAAGAAGAGCATCAAACTTTCAAATCTTTTCAGAAAGCAAATTAATCCACTTGGTCTTCTCGACTCACATACCGTATCTACTTTAAAAACCAAAGACCTCTTTTACAAACATGGCCTCAATTGTCTTTGATAAAGAATGGTTAAGGAGAAGTATTGAAGATGGGAGCATCCGGTTTTACTCTTTCGATGACTTTATTGAGCCGCTGTACATTGGTTGCGGAGCGTATGGTGTAGTTTTCAAAGCGAAAACGAAGACACTTGGTAGAATGGTCGCTTACAAGCTTCTTCATTCAC